AGTTTCCTCAACCCCACCTCTCCACAAACACGTCCAGATGGGGCTACGGTCTTCACCTGCATACAACGCCCGGTCATTATGGCTGCATCTGGACTGAAAGTTGCCCCAAATACGGTTATAATGACCGGGCGTTCTATTCGGGTGACGACGGTAGTGGAGAGGTGGGGTTGAGGAAGCTCAACGCTTTTCCTCAACCCCGCGATTTCTGCACATCTCCTCAAACACGTCCAGATTCAGGCTTTGAGGAAACTGAACGAACTGAGAGGTGGGGTTTTGAGGAAACTCAACGCCGCGATTTCTGCACATCTCCTCAAACACGTCCAGATTCGGGCTTTGAGGAAACTCAACGAGCTGAGAGGTGGGATTGAGGAAACTCAACGCCGCGATTTCTGCACATCTCCTCAAACACGTCCAGATTCAGAAACAGGTGCAGACTCCTCAAAAAAAGGGACAGTGGACCCGGGGGCCGGTCCCACTAGGAGCGTGGAGTGTCACTATTTTGTTGAAAAATATATATATAGTGCATTGCCGAATCATACTTTATTCTGGATTATTGACCAACTCTCGTGTGACACCTGTCGGGGCAGGGACGCGGTGCGTCTTGGTTGTGGCATTCATCATCTATGCCATCACCATTATCAAACTATGGCAGCCGCTGCCGTCTGTGCCGAAGGGTGCCCAACATTTCCTCATTGTACACATCCCTATCACCCAGACATTCGCTGTCCCTTTTGTGAGCAAGGACGCTATCAGAACTGCATGATGCCGCACTGTGATGAACGTCCTGCTGTTTTCTTGACATGTGGACAACGTCCTTTGTCAGGACTGCTTTGATGGGATGGTCCGCGCTAGCCGTCCTGCTGAATGCTGTGCTGGCGCAGCTCTCCTTGGGTGTCCTTGTGAACATCCACGCCACCCTCAGCGAGCCTGTCCTATCTGCCGGGGTGGGGTGGGGGCTCCTCTTCCTGACTGGTCTCAATAGAATCAAGCAGGTCGGGAGTAACACTGATTATAGGACATATAAAGCTTTCGATACTTGGAAAAACGAAAAGAAAAAAAGAAGAAAAGAAAAAAAGAAAAAAGGAAAAAAAGAAAAAAAAGAAAAATTTAGAAAAAAAGAAAAAAGAAAATAAGGAAAAATGTAAAATATGTTGAACTTTGTTGTGACAGCGGCATGTGTCAATTGCTTTGTTTGGCTTATAGGCCT